TATTCATTTAACCTCGCCGCAGCCTTATTGCAACTTTGAGAATCAAGAATCGACCACAAACTTTTTGGCTGTTTGTTGACCCGCTGTTTACGAATATTTACTCGTTCCTTCTGCCTGGTCACACAACCTATTACAGTGAGTCATTAATTATGCATCAAATTTCATAACTTATAATAACGGGCTAAGGGTTGTTTACGTTTGTCTGTTGTCTGTTGTCTCTTGTGTGTGTTGTGTGTGTGTGTGTGTGTGTGTGTGTGTGTGTGTGTGTGTGTGTGTGTGTGTGTGCGTGTGTGTGTGTGTGTGTGTGTGTGTGTGTTTGTGTGTGTGTTCGTAGAGTGGGTTCCAGCAAAGGCAAAGCTTTTGAGCTGGAATTTTAGTATTAGCACCTTATGTGCACCCTATGTACTCCCCTATGCGATTGTCTGAGACTATTTCGACCAGAATGAGGGTTATTTCAGCCGCTATCGCGTGCTCGCCGGCTGTTAGATGTTTCTAAACAGGAAACGATCTCAACTTAAGGTGGTAAGATTGAATCCCATCTCATTAAATACGTCCTTTTGAGCTAATTCAAATCTAACTTTATACCTGCGATGCCGCTTTCTGGAAGAAGTTGTAAGCATTCAAATGCGAAAATTTAGCAAATATTCATGCCACGTTCTCAGGAGCTAATGATTGAAAACACTTATTCGTAAAAATTCGGTGAAAATGAGCATTCTTTGAAACTATACGCTGAATATCTTGCTAGTCTTGCGCTTTTGAGTTGGATTTCAAAGCTCATCATGCGCTAGAAATCTAGCGACTTCGCACATTTAACCGCATTCAGACTTGTGAAGCTACTGGAGTTCTAATGCATAATGTGCTCTAGAATCCAACTTGAGAGTGCATGACTACTGAGAAATGAGTGCACTGATTTCAAGGGATGCCACATTTAGTGGGCGATGGTAAGTGCTTTTTTTGTGAGGATGTGGTGCTGAGTGTTTGCCAAATTTGGATATTTGAAAGCTTACAAATTTTTCCAGAAAACGGCATCGCGAATATAAAAGTTAGATTCGGAATCAACTCAGCAAAACGCATTCAATGATTTGCAGATTACTCCAACCGGCAACATTGAGTTGGGATCGTCCCTTGTGACTTATTCGACTCTACATCTCAAGCCTACAGTATCGAGGAATGATATGTGAGCGGGTAGCGTTATCATTGACAGGGAATACATAGCTCAACAATGAACGAATCATTTTCAATGATGCGCGGCGGAATGAGGTTCGTTGCTTCTCAAACGGTGAAGGCAAAAAAGTTAACAAACCTTATGCTCCTGCCTTTAGTGGCGTCACGTGCGGATTATCGCTTTTATCGCCTAGTCGCCCATATACTTTTCTGAAAGTGTTCTGCTCATTTGTCTCAACAAATACTTCTTACCTGCTTGCAGCAGCAGGCAGTTTCTTGGCGGGTCTGCTTTTAATAGGGATGTTAACAGTGCAAGCGAGAGAGGAGACCACGGGAGTTTTTGTGGATTTCCAGTTTTTTACAATACAGAAACTGTTAAAGGGATTGGGAGTAATTCAGCGTCACTGAGTTGCCTGCCCGAATGACTGAAAAATGTGCGCAGCTCCAACATCCCTAGGTGATACGAGTGAAGCAAGGTCTTTTTAGTGTTCTTTTCAACTTACTTTGAGGTGTTATTTTCATAGGAAACCTTTTTTGGAAGATTTTTATTTCTTTTGGAAACTTTTTTCTAGTCTTTCATGAACGCTTGAATTAGAAACTTTTTGTAAGAACCGTAAAGTTAAACGGTCGCATGCCGTTTAAGACCAGCGCGAAGCGATTGCAGGTATTTTGTTCTACACAGTTACAAAGGAAGGTCACTTGTTTGAACTAATGATTATTCAAATGCTGTAGAGTGACGAGTAGAGCTTGAAACACTTATATTAGGCATATAATCTATACCTGAGAAGCATTTCTATGCAAGAAGTTGTGGGCTTTTACTTTGCCTAATTTGCTTGCTTAAAGACTTGCATAGTAATGATAATCATAGCAAAAGCACATGAAAAATCAATAAAGCACCTGAAAAGAATCGTAAGCCTAGCTGCTGCAACTGAATTTCCCGGGTTTTTCAATGATCTTCCCATAAACCTTCCTTTTCCTTTCGTTCCGCTTTTCCATTCCAAATACAAAGGAAAAACTCATATTTTTTTTCCAGAAAACGCTTCACAGGTTTAGAAGACATACTTATCATCTGCTCCCAGATTGGGTGGAGGTGGTGCGACGAGCGCGTCTGCGTACCGAACATCTTAACATACGCCAAAAAGACCAGCTGTATGGCCGTATGGCCGCTGGAGACATAATCTGGCTGTTTTCATGTTTTCTTCGTATCTTTCTTTCGCACGCATTAAGGCTTTGGCCATACTTTGCCCGTGTTACCGGTGTTGAAAGTGTTGCCAGTGTTGAAAGTGTTGCCGGTGTTGAAAGTGTTGAAAGTGTTGAAAGTGTTGAAAGTGTTGCCGGTGTTGAAAGTGTTGAAAGTGTTGAAAGTGGGAATCATCAGTCTTGCAGTTTCATTCTTTCTCGAACGATCTCATCGGCTGGTGAGTACGTCTGGGATGGAAATGGGAAATGAGAAATGAGACTGAAATGAAATAGGAAATGCTTTCGCAAAAGCTCCTCGAACAAATTTTTTAGAAAGTGAAGGACTTGTTCAAAAGAAGCAATCTCCAACATTTGAGAACGCTGCGAGATTTCCCAAAAATCTTTTGCTCACTAATCGCAGAAGCGCCGGATTCGACACCTAACGCGCATTCTCATTAGACATTACATCTCAAGTGTTGGAGATTGCCTATTTAGAACAAGTCCTTCACTTTCCAAAAAGTACGTTCGAGGAGCTTTTGCGAAAGCATTTCCTATTTCATTTCAGTCTCATTTCTCATTTCCCATTCCCATCCCAGACGTACTCACCAGCCGATGAGATCGTTCGAGGAATAATGAAACTGCAAGACTGATGATTCCCACTTTCAACACTGGCAACACTTTCAACACTTTCAACACTTTCAACACTTTCACCACTGGCAACACTTTCAACACCGGTAACACGGGCAAAGTATAGACAAAGCCTAAGTCTTTCCGTGTTTTCTTTCGTATCGAAAAGCGGTTGTTCACTAATTTTTTGCGGACTGTGAACTGACATTTTTTACCGAGTCATCCTTTTTGCATTTTGGACTTATTTCAGTCATTTTGTCATTAGTGTTGTATCATCTCATCATTTTTTATCTTTTGACGTTGTGGTCGTTCGTAATCGCTGTGGTGAACACATGTTCCTGCTGTATTGTACTTTAAGTTTTGCAGTGATTCTGAAAATAGAATTTTTTAGGGACAGCACTACGCATGAACACAGGCAAAAAGAGCATCACATGCGTGCATGATGCTTAGTGGAAGCATGCTGAATAAAGAAGAACAAAGAAAACAAAGAAGTAATTCGAGGACTTAAATAACTCACCAATATGCGACTTCGTTATTTGCAAGAAACAAAAGCAGAATTTACCACAGCGATTACGAACGACCACAACGTCAAAAGAGAAAAAATGATGAGACTGGTACAACACTAATGACAAAAATAACTGAAATAAGTCCAAAATACAAAAAGGATGACTCGATAAAAAAAGGCAGTTCACAGCGTCCGCAAAAAAAATTAGTGAACAACCGCTTTTCGATACGAAAGAAAACACGAAAAGACTTAATGCGTGCGTCTGATGTGATTTCAGTGAAGGAAGCAAAGAAAAATACGAAGAAAACATGAAAACAGCCAGATTATGTCTCCAGCGGCCATGACGCTACAGCTGATCTTTTTGACGTATATTAAGATGTTCGGTACGCAGACGCGCTCGTCGCTCCACCTCCACACCAATCTGGGAGCCGATGATAGAATCAGCGCTTTGAGCTCCATTCATCGTTGTTCATCAATTTCAAATTGCTACATCGACTAAGCAGCCTTACTTAGCTGAAGTGCTTGTTAGTAAGAATCTTGGGCCGGTTTACTTTTTTCTGCAAAACAATCTTGAAACTAGCGAAAGTGCAATTATTCTCATGCTTAGGTTGAAACCGCGAAAAGTGATGCGTGAAGACGAAGCTTAGTACTGTTGGTCAATCTACTGTTGGCTACATGAAATTTGTGCTATCCTGCCACTCTTTAAGCATTTCAATTTCTTAAATTTAAGGAACTCCAAGAAAACCTTCAGTTTTTGGGCTATAATTTTCTTGATGAAGATACAAGTGCCGTATTGCATGTCAAACTGCAAAAGGTTCGCTGATAGCAATGAGATGCACACGGAAAGGCTGCTCTTGTAGTCGAGTGATTCCAACTCAAAATGGAAATTTCGCACGAATTTTGTTATCCATGTGTGTGCTAATAGTCATCGAATAACGATACTGTCGCGCTGACCAAGTTTAATCTTCACTTCAGCAGCAAGGGCTCATCATTTTTCTGAAACTTATGGGCATTTCTTGCTGACCATGTACCGCTGCCAATGCTTGCGTCACTCGTTTGCTTAGAGCAATTTGATAGAACCTTTTAAAACCCTCATTCTAAACATAGACTGGATACAGGCTTTGCCAAATTTGAAAATGAACAGTCATGGACTTTTACGATCATCGAATAATGCCGCACACACAAACGGTGCCGCAACCTAGAAATTTCTCGAAAAGAGCTCAAGCTTGCTACCTTCAGATCGCCTTTTGCATAATTATTGCCTTTGTGCGTTCTTTCTATGCAAAAATGCTCTAACTGCAGCTAAAACGCGCTGCGTCGCTAGAAGGCGCATATATGGTTAAACCATGGAGGCTTTAATAATATGCAAACTATCGAGATCGGCCTTTTCAACTTTTGAGCAATCCGTTGGTAGTAAGTAGCACATAAATGCCACTCTGCAAATCTAGTGCTTATCCGCTGCAAATTAGATTTTTCAAAGAAGAGAAACATGCAACTTTGTCATACATTACCGTATGTATTTTAGCGGCTGGTTGCTATCCCGCTTCATTTTACCGGTTGGTACGGTCATGTCGATCCAACATTTTTGTGGCAAGAACAGTCCTTTGGTCGGGAACACCTCAGGATATGACGAAGTTGCTCAGATATTTGATGAAAGGCTGTACGACAAGGAGGTTTGTTTCTATTTTTTGCGGCAGTTGTAAAATTTATTAACAAGTCGGATATCATATTTCTATTTTTATTCAAATCGAATTTCAATATTAGTGTAATCTTTCGATCTAATGCAAAAGACATGATCCATAGATTTTTTCATAAAATCACATTTTTTTCTCTTAAAATTGCATGAAAAACCTGCAAACGCATTTTGTTTTTCCTCATTAGTTATGAAATCTATTAGATAACTACATGGTTTGCTCTACTCAAAGTTTTCGCTCTCTTTCGGAAAACTCATAAGAACAACGAAAGTCTTTTTCACCCATTGACGACGATGTGGACCACCGGTGGCCTACGCGCTTTTTGCTGCCAGGAACGATGTGGACCCCTGGTGGCCCACACCTCTCGCAAAATTGTATTATTTGCAAGTCTAGTATTTTTTCCACATATGAATATTTTTTCCAATTTTTTGTATTCTTAGGACCTATAGGCTCTGTCGTTTGAGAAAATGTTAATTGTTGTTTACAAAACAATGTTGCAATTCGTAAATAAGCACGAAACCTTCCCATACTGAAAGTATTGTGCAAAATCGCGTCGTCCCACAGCGCCGCCGCGCAAAATTAGGCGTCGTCGTCAGTGGGTTAACAAAAATTGCAAAAGTTCAAAGTTATTTGTGTATAACTAAGTCATTGTTGCCGATCAAAAATATGGGCATCATACTAAAACGTAAATTCAATTCAAAAGTTTCCGCGAGTACAGCGTGTAATAATGGTTTATCTTAATTCATCCAAAATTCTATGTCATTTAGCTGTTTTACAATCATTCAAAGTCTCATGTTTTTCTAGTACTTTCTTAAAATTTTTGAACATCTCTATCTATTAGTAAATATATTAATTTCTTCCAAAAGTAATTTTGCTTTTTTTCGAACGAGTGTAATAATCTACAGACCAATGATTACCCGAAGATCTCAACAGCATTCGATGCAGCTTTTCATCAATTTTTCCATATGGTTGTGCTTGCAGTGCAGTTTGGTGGACGAGCTTTCAGAAAACCACCAAAAACTACCACTCATGCTTGTGCTGTCGAGTTCCGCTATTCTTTTAAAGTTTTGTACCCTCCTCCCCCCCTCCCCTCCCCCCCCCGAGGAAATCCAAGTAACGGATGGATAGAAGTCTATAGTCTATAGAAAGTCTATAGAATACAGAAAGATTCTTTTCCTCTTCATAATTCGCATAACTTTTTTATAGAGGTTTGTTTGATGCCATCAAATTTCAAAGATCAGTCACTGGTTCTTGGAGTTTTCGCGGATAGAGTCATCATGATTTGTGTATCTCAAAACGTCCCTTGTCTTTCGAGGTTTGATATGTGTCCATTCTTTTGAGTTTCACCTTCCGAAGATTTGTTGGTATTCAATGCGTTCGCATCTGAGATGGTTCTGCATTTGAAAAAGGATAATTATACAGAATGCAATTAAAATCTTCTGATAATCTTTGGTTTATGAGATGTTACGCTCCTTTGGAGAAAAACGAAAGAGCTTTCGCAGCGAGCCAATTTAAAAAATGTTATTTCTTTTTTATCTCAAAAAGGTGCCTTTCTAGAAACGATGATTGATGAGGAGCCAAAGCGGCCATTCTAGTTGATATACATGTTGTTGAAGTCAGTGTCAGGGTCAAGCAAGGGGTTTGGCACACGATCGCTGGTTACGACCCCCCCCCCCCTGATTGCTGTCTTAATAAGACCCCTTCGCCCTGAACTATATACCTAAGATAGCATTACCAGAGTTGAGAAAGAGGTCAGGCACAAGTCTTTCGAAACCCTCCCCCCCCACCTCTCACGAAAGCCCTCAAACGACCCCTAATTCCTCCTCTTAACCTCTGGACCTCGAAGTGTGACATTCTGGAGGACAGTATCTTTTCCTAGAGGGTTTTCAGATTTCTGAGAGCTGTACGCCCGATTTTCTGTGACTGCACTTTACAATCACACGTAATTTGACAGCTGATTTTGATCTGAATGGGCATATTGAAAGGTTCTTATAGGTGGGGCATTCGGCTCCAAATTTCCAATGTAGCAAGAAGAAGCTATGTGTTCAATACTCATACCAGCAATGGAGCGCTTTCTGGATTTTGAAGGCAAGTTAAGGGGGTGCGGCACACCCCCTTAAAAGCTGCGGCAGCCGCAGCTTTTAAGGGGTGTGCCGCACCCCATTAACTATATCAAAAAAAAAACAATTTTAGCGGACAGTATTTATATGAATCGATAGCCTAAACCTTGTAGATTCCATAGGACTGTTTGGAGCCTGATTTGTCTTCTTAGCTCTAAGTAATTTGGTGAAAGCACAGCGATCAAAAGCGAAAAATGGGAAAAGCGAGGTTTTGGTTGGCTTCTAATTCCACACTTTGCAGGTCTTCTGAAGCGGGATTCCTGAGGTGGACAAAGAAGGAGTAGTGCTTTGTCTTGAGTGCAAAAACGGATAGCTAATTTATCTTCGAAACAAAGTCAACCATGTTGGAATTTGACCATTTCATTTGAGTAGCCTAGTATCTTAAATCTTCAGAATTCGCTCACACTTTGTCTATAGGGGTTAATTGACATTCTAATTATGGATATGATACGAATATCATGTTATCACTATTATCAGATTACCCAACTACGACCCCCTCCCCTTTTGACTCCTCAATACGACCCCCCCCCCCCAGGTGTGGCGTGCTGCACCCCACGCTTGACCCTGGTCAATGTTGATGTTGAGCTGCAATCCTTATCTGCCATGTGATTTCCGAAGAAGGCTTGGTGTTAGAAACAAGGATGTAGAAAAGCTGTTTATAAAAAGATTTTAACAAGCACCATCTGTGCCATAAACGATGGCGTTCTTTCTGCACCATTTTCTCATAGTAGTATAATCTATGAGTAGGAGACGTGTGACCGCATTGCGGACATTGTTTCAACATGTTTGAGTTTGTTCTTCCTTGTTTCCAAAGAGTGAATAAACCTGGATGAGTTAAATGACAAGTATAAACCTGCTAAGTACATGATCAAGCTTGGTTAGACAATGTGTGCAATGCGATCTCCCTTCTTCTAGTTTTGAAATAAATGATATGTACTGCAGCACTATTAAACAAACGGTGTATCAAAAATTATGTTTAAACTTATGAGTTTCAAAAAGTATTTTCAGAAAACGATTGTAGTTATAAGGACAGCATTCATTACTGACTTTGGTAGCGTATCTCACACCTTGCATGACCGCTTGAATTAAGAAGGTCAAAAAGCTTTTTTGGAAGTATGTCTGCTAGTTCTTTGGAATAAAAAAGAGCACGCAAACCACAATAGCCGACCGACGGACGACGACGAAAGCAAACCGCCATATTGTATCAATAGTCTTGTAACTAACGTTGGCATCATCAATAGTTTTAACATGTATCAAATTCCTAGTACTCTTGTGCAAACCTGTCAGTTGAGCGCAAGAGCATTTCATGACTTCTTTCAGATTATCGTTTTGTAGAGAATGGACATAGTTTTGAGATTAGTTTCTTCAGGCTACCCTAATGACATACACCATATATCAAAAGGCTGTGGCCTCTATGAAACTATCTCTGTCCCCCCTAAAACGGGAAACTAACCCTTTCGCGTTAGACGAGTTTCATTGTATGTGTCAGCAAATCTACTCGTATATTTGAAGCACCTAAAATCGAAAAATTTGCTGTATATGTACTTGAAACGTTCAGAAATACAGCCTGACCCTCAAATTTTGAATTAGCCGCTTCCTGCCTCGATGCAATCCGTGAGAAACTTTGTAAATTAAGTCTGCCGCGGCAGTTTGTCTTTAAGAAAGTTTGTCCCACGCCTTTAAGTTATTGCCTTTTTCACCTTCAAAAATGTGCAGCGTAATAGAACAAGCTTTCGTCTACAATAAGCTCCAAAAAATTTTCTTTACAATGTTGTTGGAATGTTGAAACTGTTGGGATTTAAGTGCAGGCATGTGTGCGTCGCATACTGAAAATTTGCGTACACTTGTGAAGAGAAAAACAGAAAATTTCGGTCTAATTAAGCCGTGACTATACTGTTACCCTATTTCTGCTTTTTGTAGCTTTGAAATCTTTTTTGATGACGCTTGAGCACTGACCGCAGGCAACATTCGCAAATTTTTGTATGCCATCTTCGAGAATAGTTTCTGATCACAACTACCACGACGTGGGAGGGGGAACCATATTCTACATTGTTGAATTGAACTGTTGTAAAATGTTCTTAACATCTCCAGTTGCGGGTCGAGTTGTAAACAATGAAATTTTCAAATTTCTCGCTCAGCAAAACACTAGTCTGGTAGTTCGAGTTCCTAAAAAACATGTGACAGCCATTTTGAGCTCTAAAAGGTATAGTTTGTAGAATATAATTGCATCATTATGTGGCAAATTGTGAATTGTAAATTTGGAATCAAATTCACAACTTTACATAGATTACGGTGACGCAAGCAGCCTCCCGGACTTTTCACGCACTTTGTACAAATAGAGGCAAATCAATTTTTTTCATCTTTACTTCGACATCAACATTTAATCTAATTCTGATAATCAGAATCTGTAAATAGATGAGATATACCGAGACATATTGGTGAGCTTGAAGGCTGATGATTAGCCTAATGGTTCTAAAGATGATACTCATCATTTTTCAGGCACACCCATGCGAAGATTTCTACCATTTTGCATGTGGTAAATATAACATGAATGCGAAGAAAAATTTTTTATGGAAACTCCTCGAAAATACGCTTGAAACTATGGAAGGTAAATAACTTGTAATTTAACACATCATTTTTACCAATGAGAATAAACGACAATTATTTTGCGATCTCCCTCAAATTAAAAACATAAGCTTTACGCAGATATTCTTGCCTAATATGGACGAAGTTTGATAACTTTTTGATTTCTGAAAGTAAGCGCTCCTTCATCCTTTTCTAATAAAAACTTGATGCCAAACGACGCGACGGCTGGATTGGTTCGTTTACGTGGATGGTTTTAACGTTGTTTGAAGCAGACGCCAGTCGCAGAACCTCTTCCAGTCATCAAGAGACGCAACAAAGATGACAATGCAATGATGACAAGAAAAACTCAGAGGTTTAGCGCGACGAAAACATATCGTGTAAATACGTATAATAGCGCAGCATCGCCTTTTGAAAGCTTGAAGATTTTAATATTTTCGGCTTCTAGCACAAAAACAAATACAGCAACGGCACATATGCATTTCTTTTGTGTATATGCGTGAGAGAATTTAGGGTTTGGTATTCGAAGCTTCTTTGATTTCGGCTGCTCGAGGTACACTGAAGCTGGCGCATACAACTAAGTTCCTTCTTATAGGGCTTCAACTGTTTTATCAAACGGAACCCTGCATTCATATTGAAGTTGAGTAACGTATGACTTGATGTGGTGAAGGCAAGATTCTAAACACCTTGAGATGACCTATGTACAGTTTATAGTTTTAAATTAGGGACATGGAAGCATCAACAATTTTAAGAAAACCATAAAGCCAGCTATTTTTCAAAAATATAGCGAATCGCACTTTACTTACTTCACCAAACTGTTATCGATGCTTTTCAAAGACTTGAAATGACAATTTCAAAATAGCTGAAGTTAGAGTAAGTAAAAATCATGGATTGAAGCATCTGACAATTACTTGAGCGGTATAGAAAGAATCCGACAAAAGAATCACTGTTAGAAACAGTGCTCGGAACAGGTGGCTTACGGGGGCAAGCTGGATATCGTTTTGGAAAAGCAAGGGGGATATCTTTGGAGCGGAAATCCCAGCTCCTCCCCCCCCCCCCCTTCACACACACACACACACAATCGCCTTCCGCCTTTATGTCATCTATCTTCTACAGAAGACGCAAATTGTCATTTCTGCCTTACTGATGTACAAAAAACCAAAAATTTTCTGTTTCAGCATGTCGCCGGTTAGGCGCGCGAATTCGAAAAACAGAAGGCTTGCTTACAGCGAAGAGAAAATGAAATGACACCAAATTGGTGTGTGGATGGACAATAGGGAGTTAGAACCATGTGCGAAAAATTATGAAAAAATTATTTAAAGTGAAGGCGCGGCAAACTTTTTTTGGAGTTAGGTGGCTTTCCAGCTACTCAGACAATCGCCGGGGGCAGGCGGGCACCGGAAAAATAGATTGCTTATCTCTCGCACCCCGCTCGCGGATTTTTTGCAAAGCAATCAGGACTTTTCGGAAGACCGCTTGCTGAGTTCTTGATTCCTCAGAGATTCAGCAATATATCAGCAAAAGATAAGAGCGAAAAAAAATTCAACAGGCGGTCTCTCAAAAATCCGCTGACTCAGCGAGCGGTCTTCCGAAAAGTCCTGATTGCTTTGCAAAAAATCCGCGAGCGGGGTGCGAGAAATCAGCAATCTATTTTTCCGGTGCCCGCCTGCCCCCAGCGATTGTCTGAGTATCTGGACAGCCACCTGATAGCTGTGAAAATAAAAAGTCATATTAGGTCGTTCCGAAAGTAATGTCGCTTATTTCAAATGTATGCCACATCTCTTGGAACAAAGATGTGTAAGAGATTCTGGTAGCATTTGATGCAGCATTTCGTTCTCTTTCTAATGCTTATGAAGCTGTTGCAATACGGTCAATGAGCTTCCAGAAAAGAGTCAAAATCTGCGACCTACGCTTTTTGAGATGGCCAAGTTTCACAATTTTTTCAAAACTTCATAACAAACCTCAGAGGGAGTTCAAGTAACGAATGGATGAAGCAAACCCTACACGAAACAGCACAATTTTTTCCTACTTTCCAGAGCTCGTCATAATTTTTGTACAGATTTTTTGATGGAACCACCAAATTTTAGCAGGCTCGTCTCAGACAAAAGTGCATCAAACGCCAACAAGTTTCCGGATTTTGAAAGTTACAAAGATGGATTATGGTTTGGCAACAATTTTACAAACCAAACGAGCATTCACCGCTTCGGTTTAGCAACTTTCGAAAATTTTGGGTACACCTTGAGGTGCCTTAGAAAAGTTGAATTATAAGGATTTTATCCCAGAAAACTTGATGAATCGGAAACAAAAAAAAACAACTAATAGAAAGAGGAGAAAAAGCTGCGTCGAAAGACACTTAAGTTGCTTGCCGGTTGTTGTTCTGTGAGGTTTGAGTTGACCAAATATGGGAATTGATAGCATTGAAAAATTGATTCCAGAAACTCTAAGTAGCAAGCTAAGGAAAAGAAAGAATTACTCTGTGTTCTATAGTGTTTGCTCTATCTACCTGCTACTTGTACTTTTTCGGAGATTAGGTAGAAAAATTTAGGAAAATAGCCGAACTTGACCATGGCAAAAAGCATGAGTCGCAGATTTTGGTAATTTTTCGAGAGCTCATTAAACATTATGCAGTGAAATTAGAACCATCAAAAAGAGGATGAAATGCTGCATCGAATGCTTCTAAGATCTTTTGAAAATTTTGATATCATGAATAGTGGCGTTTCGAAAAAGGCGACATTATTTTCGGAACGACTTAATATATTAGGTGGGTCCGAAGGTTTTGTCAGTTTTTTAAATCCATCGTCAAACACGCTAGAATGAAGACAAACAAACGCTTCAGAATGTATCCAATGCAGAATTTCTTCTTCTTTCCAGCAGCTAAACTCTCATTGTGTTTAGTTGCGAGAGCGATAAGATATTTGCTGGAAATCACAACCACTCGTTTTACCATGTCCAACTTTCGCTAATTTTCAAAATATTTATATGAGACTTTCAGAGGAGCCCTAATAACTAGCAAATAGAGCAAACCTTTTGCCAAAAGAAGAAATTTTTTGTAGTCCCACGGCTTGTCTTTCAGAGTTTCTACGATTTATTTTTGAAGTGACCAGATTTTACATTCAGCTTATTTCAACTTCTGAGAACATAAAATGTCGAACACTTCAGTTACCATTTGATGCAAATTTTTCTCCTCTTTTCAATACTTGTCTTTTTTTGCCGAGACAGACGAAATTTGTGTGGGAAAGTCCCAGTATTTCTCATTTTCAGGAGTGCGCACTGGCGTAACCTATGTTTCAAAACCTTCATAATTTGAGGCGAAAATCGCTACCATTTACTTTGCAATGGTAGCGGTAGTAATAATTATGTGCTGAAACCTCAGTTTTCTGTAGGTTTTGCAGTATTTGGTGCAGTAACAGGTTATGCGATTTTTCCGAAACACAAGGCTTTTAAAAAAATAATTAGCAAAAATCTGAGAAAGCCGCTGAAAAAAAGAAAAGAGTTGCATAAGTTGGCAAAAGGTTTGCCCTATCTGCTAGTTATTAGGGCTTCAAGTCTTATACAAATATTTTGAAAATTAGCGAAAGTTGAACATTAAGAACGAGTGGTTGTGATTTCCAGCAAACATCTCATCGCTCTCGCAACTAAACACAATGTGAGTTTAGCTGCTTGAAAGAGGAAGAAATTCTGCATCCAATGTGAAGCGTTTGTTTATCTTCATTCAAGCGTGCCGATGGATTGAAAAAACTGACAAAACTTTTGGACCCACCTAATATTTTCCTCCCTTCACATAATTTTCTTATATGTTTAACATAACCTTTTCTACATTAGAAAGCCTACAACTGAGTTTTTAAACCTCCCTAACCCCCTTTTTTCTCGCCTAGTTACAGCCCTCCAAATATTTTGCGTAGCGGCGGCAAGCCTGCTCCAAGCGCGCAAGAGTGCGCGCCGGTCACAGCATGCCGCCAGTTCAAAGAACACGAACATCTTCAATTCTTGTTTCGTCTATTCGGTGTTACTTTCATGTTTGTTTCATTATTTTTCGTTATTGTTTTGATCTATTCATTTCGCGTCATAGGTGATGTCGTATTTTTGTGCCGAAGTTTACAAGACTTCGTTAAATTGAAAGAGCCACCTCATGCCGAGCATGGTTAGAAAGAGTATAAACTTTGCATCGATCACTTTTGAATTATTTTTCTATTGTCATTTTAAACGATTGGAAAATTGGTCTTAATTTCACAAACTTTCGCACAGAACTAATATAAGCGCAGAAAGTCACTGATTTGGTGTTTTTGTTTTTCAAAGAAAAGTAATAAGAATTTTTCCGCATATCAGACTAGTATGTTATTCCCAATTAACTTAAAACCCTCCAAATCAGAGTCGCTCGTTGAAATTCCCTTCAACTAGCATTCTGATCCCGATCTTTGGGCAAATAGTGACCCCAAAACGTCCAAAGTGAAGAAAATGTAGTCACGACAGTCTTGAGCAAACAATCTGCTCAACACACGCCATAGCCTTTGCGAAAGTTATGTGCTTAAATGTCAACGGCGCGAGTTCTTCAAGCCACTGCGCTTTTGAACAAAAATAGAGAGTTTGGCATGCCGAAGATATACATTGCTCAAATTGACTGCAAAGTGAGAATTAGGAAAAAAGACTGCGTATGAGGAAATCCAGGCAAGCAAACGCTTGAAATATTCTAAAGACAAAATTCATCTTTTCTCAATTATATTCGAAATGCAGCAAAATATTTGAAAGGCTGATTATGTCGCAAGTTTTCCGCCAGTTATGCATTCGCCAATTATGCATTGATCAGCTTAACGATTGCAAGTAGTGTGCAGCTACTGGTGGTGCTACTTAAGTAGTGTTACTGATGTACACTTATGTTTCACGTGAACTGCGTGTAAGCTTGATATGCTGGCCGCCAGTCTCGGGTGCTCTTTACAAACTACGATGATCAAACCATAGGTTCGATAGTGTGAGCATTCGCTCACCCCCCTTTCACCCCTGAGCGGGGACCAAGGTAGCTCCCTTCACCAAAAGCCGGGAAATAAACCAACAATGAGGTAATAAGCAAAGGAGATATTTGTACGGGAATTGTTTGTGCTTCTGAGAGAAGGAAAAATATTTATAGGCCATTTATGTACTTCCAAGGAGGAGAAAAATAGCAGCTTCTGTAGCTGCACAGCATGTCAACGAGGGAGGTACCTGCAACAACGTTCCCTTTTGGTTTCTGGGAATAAATGATTTGAGGTCCGTTCATAGAAGTACCTAGTAAAAGGTGTGCATAGTGATTTTTGGACACTTACGAGTTTTCAACATAAAAAAATCATATATTTTTTGAATGAATAACTGGTACAAGGAACTAATAACCATCGAAACCGCCTCGTCCTCCGTTTTCAGATGATATATTGTATGTCTGAGATCCATCCAAGAAAGTGCCTGGGTGATGTCCTAGTGATGGTTATTTTCGAGTTTTTGTCATTAAAAAAATTCGTAACTTTTGTAGATATATATTATACGCCGATGTGGTCACGTCTTTTTACAATGGTAAAAAAGCTTCTACTTGAGCACTCCCATTGTAAAAGTCTCAACCACCCTTCACCCAAAACTTTTTGCAAAAAATATGTACTTTGCCCGGGGTTCCTTTGTAAAGAACCCCAGGCAAAGTATATATTTTCTGGAAGCGGAGGGGACAGTTCTAATAGTGACCATCACGGCCTTAAATGTGTTCATCTACAGAAGTTATGAATTTTTTTATGTTAAAAATTCTCCAAATCAAATCTCCAAAAGTCTCTAGAACACCTTCACCCAGGCACTTTCTCCAATGTACCCCCAGGCAAAGTATATATTTTCTGAAAGCGAAGGACGAGGCGGTTCCAATGGTGAACATCTTCATCTTCTGTTTATCTTCAGAAGAAACGGACTTTTTTTTCCTAAAACTCGTGAATATCTAGAAATCATTACCCACACTCTTCACCAGACACTTTGCTCAGCAGACTCCAGGCAAACTATATATGTTCTAGAAGCGGAGCACAAGATGGTTTCAAAAACATTTTCCTTGCTGACGTTGCTGTTCATTTACGGAAATTACGAATTTCTTCTTTCAAAAATCCGTAAATGCTAAAAAATTGTCTAACTCTTTCCGAAATAAACTTCTCGCATGCACATCTTCTATGTAATTTCAATGGGGGATGTAAAAAAGGAAAAAGGAAATGTAAGAAAACACAAGGTGCTGGTCAGAAATATAATTGTGTGCTAATCCAGCAGCATATCGCTCCACATTTCAAAAAAAAGACAACCAGTGATGGCAAGAGATTGAAGATTGACTAGGGAAAATAATGAGAGAACACCATGGCTCCCCCCCCCCCGTCGACATTTTATATTTTCTCTGCCAAGTAAAACACCGTTCACCCTGGAGGGGCTGCAACCACTGTGACTCCCTTCATTTCTGGAAAAGTCATTCTCACCTTATCGCATCTACGGATCGAACTATTTTTGGTTGGCTTCGTGACTTAGCAAGCTTCATCCTGAGTTTGTTTTTTATATAGCACGTACATGTAATGACAACAACTTCTCGACTATTTCTCATGGCAGAAAGGCGCGTATTGATCTGCTGTTACTAGAGAAGAGATCCGGAATATCCAGCTTCAATTTTTTTTTCAAAATGCTCTACGCGCTCAACACTTCCTTTCATGACTCCAAAACTTTTAAAGTCTGAACTCTTGAAATATGGACCCAGTCTGGCAATAACCACCGCCAAAATGTGGCTTTCGACATACATCACAATTTCAACAAGCTGCTTTGATAAAAAATCAGGAAAATGACTTTTGCCAAGACGACCAGGCACCTGACTTGTTGCCGCATTATAATTTGAGGTTCGAAAAAGTACATTCACAAAAATGAGACTACAGTGAGGCTATTTCTTGCATAAGCCAAAATGTGATTTTGTAGCATAGCATGTATTCCGAGAATCTGTTTTTGAGTATGATATCTGCAGGTAGCTCTCTAAGAAGAATTTTCTTTTTGATTTCCCTCTTTCTTGCACCGCACTTTAGTTTTTACCCTCGTTCCCTTATCTACTGCTTTCACTTCCACTGCGTAATGTTTTATGATGTGACAATAATTCAGCAGTCATCTTAGGTATTTTTCTGTATAAGTGAAGCAATTAGTGCTTCACTTTTACAAAAAAACAAACAATTACAACTTATTGTACAGCAAATAATCACTTTCACACATGCTGTTGAACGGATAAGGGTCCGAAATAGTAATCATCTGAGCTGACACTCGTCTATGCACAAATTTCTAAGCCATCTTCTACTGCGTTTGCCTGCTATCTATTCTTGTAAACCCTTTGCAATTTTGTAACAATCCATACGGTACTCGTAACTGTGATGAAGATTAAGACAAAAGAACCGGACCCGACCGCACTACAAGCTTGATTGTAAATCATTCGATCTTGCAACTGCTTGTGCGCTTTCTTAAAAGCTGCAGGGTGATGTTTATCCGGAAATACGCTTCTGCCATTATGGTTTTAATAAGTCTCGCTATATGGTTTCAGCACTCCGTCAAGTCTGCTTCGCGAAGCTTCTACTGGTTCCGATATCCTCTACTGTCATTTTCCTGCTCGCACATTGTAATTGTTTTGGCCACCAAAACGTGCTGTGATGGACCCCAGGCAGAGTATATATTTTCTGAAAGCGGCGGACGAGACGGTTCCAGCGGTGACCATCTCGGCGTACAAGATGTTCATCTAAAAAAGTTATGAATTTTTCTATATTAAAAACTCGAAAATCTCCAGAAATCACTAGGACACCCTTCACCCAGGCACTTTTTTTAATGGACACTAGGTATTGTATATGTTTTCTGGAAGCAGAAAACGAGGCGGTTTCAATGGCAGCCATACCAGCGTAAATTGTGTTTACCTTCAGAAGTTACGGCTTTCTTATCCTAAAAACTCGTGAATATCTAGAAATCACTACCCACACTTTTCACCAGACACTTTTTTTTAGCAGACTCCAGGCAAACTATATATTCTCTGAAGCGGAAGACAAGGTGGTTTCAAAAACATTTACCTTGCTGGCGTGGCTGTTCATCTACAGAAATTACGAATCACTTCTTTGAGAAAAAATTCGTAAATGCTTAAAAATTGTCTAACTCTTTCCGAAACAAATCTTCTCCATGCACATCTTCTATGGTAATTCCAAAAACAGGCAGGGCAACGTAAAAAAAGGAAAAAGGAATGTAAAAAAATACAAGGTGCTGGTCAGAAATATAATTGTGTGCTAATCCAGCAGCACATCGGTTCACTTTTCAGAAAAAAGACAACCAGTGATGGCAAGGAATTGAAGATTGACTAGGAAAAATAATGAGGGAACACCATGGCTCTACCTCCCCCCACGGACATTTTATAATTTCTCTGCCAAGCAAAACACCCTTCCCCTGGAGAGGCTGCAACCACTGTGACTTTTTCATCGTGGAGGAGTCATTCTCACCTTATCGCATCTACGGATCGAACTATATAGCACGAACTAACTATATAGAACTATATAGCACTATAACTATATAAACTATATATATAGCACGTACATGTAATGACAACAACTTCTCGACTAATTCTCATGGTAGAAAGGCGCGCATCTGCTGTTACTAGAAAAGAGATCCGGAATCCAGCTTCAGTTTTTTTTTTCAAATTACTCTACGTGCTCAACACTTCCTTTCATGACTCCAAAACAAGTCTGAACTCTTGAAATATGTGCCCAGTCTGGCAATAACCATCGCCAAAATGTGGCTTTCGACATACATCACATTTTTAACAAGCTGCTCTGATAAAAAATCGGAATGACTTTTGCCGAGACGACCAGGACCTGACTTGTTGCCGCATTCTACTGGTTTCGCTATCCTTCACTGTCTTCTTCCTGCTCGCACATTGTAATTGTTTTGACCACCGAAAGGTGCTGTCTTCACAAATGAGTAAACAGTTACTTATTTGAATTCAAGTTTTTCGATGTAGTATCGGTACGAAAGATGTATGGAACTTTTCATAAAAAAAAACAGTTGTAAATAAAAGTTAGTCTGGATTGCATTGGCTTGGTAACTTTCACAAAACCGTAATCGACGCCTTTTGCAAGCCTATGTGAAAAATCCCTTTATGAGGCAACGTGAAAACAAATTGTGCAACCCCCCCCTCCTCCCTTCCGGCGAAGGAAGAAGATTTTGAGTAAAAAGGAGGAACAAACTTCGAAAGCTTGACTATTGATTGACACCAAAAAGTCAATCAGTTGTAGGCTAGTAGAAAAAGTGTGCATCGTTATTTAGCCAACCCCATGTAATTTGCAGGTAGATATGAATACTTACAATTAACACCTTACATGTTAGGTGCAAAGGCTTGTGCTAGCAAAAATTTTAGGGCTATTGACCGATGAAGGTGGAATACCATCGAAAGCGTTCAATCTGTCAAAGCATTATTACATGAGCTGCTTGCGAAACCACGAAGAATGGGAATCACATACTGGATATATTCAGACAGTGATCGGAAAGATTCGAGTAAGTCAAGTTTCACAAATCGTTTACTTTGAAAAGCGCACTTTTCTATTTTACCTGCAAAAAAGTGTTTCTTCAAAGCTTTCATTTATCAATGCAAAGCAACGATTTCTAACAGTTTTATGAAGTGCTCGAATTGATTTACAAGCCCTGTAGGCAAATAAATGGTACATAAATACCTTCAAAGAAATGGAAATGCATAAAAAGTTTGGAAGAAAACTCTTTGACATATAACCTGCGTGAAACTTGATCGTCAAAGTTTTAGAATACTGATAGAATACTGAAAATGACTAGCTGAATGAGAGAATACTCAAACAATCCCAAAAGAACATTTGGAGCAAAATGAGCTTCTAGAACTTCAGGGGTAACATTCTTGTTGAGGCTGCCAGGTGGAGCAAGTCTACTCTACACGGTCCAAACCAAATAGCCAATGGAGCGTCCGCTCCGGAAGTTTCAAAAACTCAGCTTGCTCCCGAAGTTCTTCGCGATTGTCTGAGTGTGTAGGATTAAAAATTGCAGAAGAAGGTAGAGTAAAATTGTAGCAATAGGTGAGGTAGATTTTTCGTAATAGATATCCGAGATCAATTTATAGGTCGTTTCAAAGGGCATCGGTTATGTGCACTTTTGTAAGATTTTCCAGAATTTTGGTCATTTTCCTCTGATTGATGCCAATATATCGTACTATAATCGATCAGATTATGAACTTGATTTGATCGATGTCCTCATCTACTTTAATAAAAACGGATTAACGACCGAATGGTTGGCGCCAATGTTTTTCTTCCGTGATAACGACACTACCGTCATGCAAGTAAGTGTCTCATTCCATATTGTAACTACTTCTGTGCCATACAGGTTTGGTAGGTGGTCTTTATTCCAATCACACGGCCCAACGTTTCGATGCCTTCGTCTGCCGCGGCCACTCACTTCCGGTGCGGACTTTCACGCATAACGGTGGTCTTCCGGCCTCTGAGGAAGACGAAGGCGTCGAAACGTTGGGCCGTGTGATTGGAATAAAGACCACCTACCAAACCTGTATAGCACAGATGTAGACAATATACGAACATGCCCAGATTTTATGAAAATGGAACTTGGAATTTGTTTCATTCCATTTTTATTGAGGTTTGTGTAAGTCTCGAGGCAGCGGATGAATACCTCGCTGAGAACGATGTGCCAAAACTAAGGGCTTCATGCTAATGCCCTAAAAGTTGTGAATCTATTGCCTGTTTTTGCTTAAGCAATTCTAGTATCCTTTACTATTTGGTTGGCTTAAAAGTTTTCGGACATTTCCGGATGAGATCTGCTATTTCTCGAAACTTGATGCATGTAAATCCGACAGAGTTACCATTCGATAGAGCAAAGCAAGCTTTACAAGAAGATATGCAAACGCTCGCACCAGCTTCGACCCACCGTAAGTTTGCATTCAGAATCTGAGTCGGGCTGAAGCCTCAATAAATTGGGAAAAAGTCAATTCTCTTACAAAAAAGTTCTATGAATCTCCAATTTGCTCACGCAAATTGCACACCACATCAGACATCCATATGTATCAATGCTGTATTTTTTCTCAGCTATAAATCGAGGAAACTCAATTTTTTGTGTTCACACAAAAAAGAATCTGTGCTGTTTCCACTCACGTATCTGTATGTACAAGCCCTTAAAAGTATAACAGTAAGTTTTCAGCTTTCCCCAAGCAGTAGTTTTCACCGTAAGCTTTAAGGATGTAACACCTGAGCGAGGAGAGCTCATTTTCGGTAATTTTTGGAGACTAGGGTCTGTAGAAAGCTGAAAAATTACTATTATATTTCTAAGATTTGGTACTGCACAAGTACATAAGTGGGATTTTGTATGAATACGAAAACTTTCGCTTTCTCAGATTTCAAATGAAGAAGAAATATAGGGACGGTACAATGAGGATCTGACATGGTGTGCAATTTGCTTGAGCAACTTGAAGGTGCATAGATTTTTTTAGAACAAGGATATGAATTTTCCCCATTTTTTCGATCTTCAACACGACTCAGATTCTGAATGCAAACTTACGGTGGGTCGAAGGTGGTGCGAACTTTTGCATACCATCTTGTAGAGCTTAACTTGGTCTAATGGTTCCTCTATGGGATGTACATGCATTATGTTTCGAGAAATAGCAGATCCCATCTGAAAATGTCCGAGAATTAGCCAGCCTAATACAAGCGTACTCATTAAAATTAAGCTGATTAACACATTGATGATCGCTTGACACACATGGTATGTCACGGCTTGGCGCACCATGTGTATCCTTGAAATGGCTCTATTTTGTGTCAAACCCACTTCGAAAGTTTTCTTTTGTGCTGGATCTAGACACAACCTCTGCTGTTTTTGCCTGCATTCCAGAGTTACGGTAGGTGTAGTGTAGATGGAATGTGGGTGATTTTATCTAAAAGATGTTGACTGGTCCGTGAAACGCCTTGGTCGTCAATGCGTTAATCTGCGGCTGTAGGAGTTTGTCCGTTACAAAAATCTTGATTCTGTACGAAATGAACACGACGATACAGTGTTTTATTTTTTGACTATAGTGAAGAAGTTGATTAGAAGGTTCAAAAATGCTGGGCTTTTTTAAAATTATTGCACAGCTTTCACGCTTAAGGCATCCTGCTCAAAGATATGAGCAGAGCAAAGCTGGCAACGTCGCCAGAAAACTACGAGAAGAGGTTAAAAACTTAAAGGTCAAAAAACAGAATGACATTGAAATGCAATAGGACGTAGTAAAAACAAAACTTTGCGTTTTCATAACTAATTAGTTTATTGTTTATCTCCTAATAATCACACTGCTAAGCATGGCTGTTTTTGAAACATGCAAATCTTTACTTCTCTACATTTCTCCCTGTTGCCTCGTCGTAGCGAAAACCTGCAATTCGAGATGCCGCCAAATAAAAGGTTTTAAACACATTGCAGCTTTTTTAGCCAATTCCAAAAAGTTTTGTCTGTTTTTGCTATTTGTTTTTGCATTTTACTCCTTTCTGATTTTCCATGAACAACCCTTAACTTATGGAAAACAGATATTCTAGACAACTTTCATTTTTAAGGCCCATCGGGCCTATCCTTCAGACTATTGAATTATTTTCTTTTTCAGCCCGCCTTTTTATAAACTCTCCTAAAACTAAAAGCAAATTTAGAATAAAGTCAAGGTGATAGGGATCTACATGGAAAACAGTTTCAAAGAGTCAAAAGCTTTTTATGTAAGACTCAACACGCTTGCGGGATGCAGCATCTGCAGCCACTTTAACCACCTTGGGCACTGCCTGAACGCCGCGCTAAAACTGCCTGTACTTCGGGAGTATGATTGTATCGAAGTACTGTTTTTATCGTCTCTTGTGCGTGCATACACTAAATCTTGTGTCACATCATTCGCGTTGTAATATCAGATCGTTTGTCGCTTAGCAAAAAATTGGTTCCTTGGTTCAAAGATTGAACGATTGAAAGTTGATAATTCTCCTCGATCTTCGAATGGAATTATCAATGTTGAATTCTCTGCCTGAATCTGCCCTAATGCTACATAATCATTGCAGTTTTCCTCTGGAATCGCCTACACCTTCCGTCAAAATCTCAAACTGGTGAGGTCATTTTTAGTGCTTGTTACAATTCATGAAAGGAATCCATAAGAAAGAGTAGCGTATGCAACTGTTTTACAAGTTTAAAAGAACATATGTGGGTGTAAACTGAATGGACGTCGCTTGAAAAGTAATGTTGACTCATAAGATTTTGCATCGAATGGAACCGATATGCAGATCGATACGGGATGGTTGAAACTAATTCAATGTAAAAACTACCAAGATTCTCTTCTGCTTTTCTACATTCTTACACTGTAAAAAAATCTATGTGGCTTGTATTTTGAGATAAATTTTACTTCCAAACAATGTTTCTAGAGCTACCTCTACAAATTTGGTAGTGGTAGCTGTAGAAAATTTTCTACAGGAGGAAAAATTTGCCATTAAAACGCTGCCTCCGCGAACTATTAGTCTTTCATGCATGCTTTAGAGTGTGTGAGAAGCAGTACTTTAATTTTATTAGGTCGGTGCAAAAGTTTTGTTAGTTTTTTCAATCCATCGGCAAACATGCTAAAAGATAAATAAACACTTCAAAATGTATCCGATGCAGAATTTCTTCCTCTTTCCAGATGCCGAATTCCCATTGTGTTTCGTTGCGAGAGTGGCTAGATATATGCTGTAAATCACAACCATTCGTTTTCACCAAGTCCAGTTTTCATTAATTTGCAAAATTTTTGTAGGAGTCTTTCAGAGGAGTTCTAATAACCAGCAGATAGGGCAAACCTTTTGCCAACTTATGCAGTTTTTTCTTTTTTCAGCTGCTTTTTCAGATTTTTGCTGAATAATTTTCTAAAAGTCTTGTGTTTTCTAAAAATCGCGTAACCTGTTATTGCATCAAACACTGTAAAACCTACAGAATGCCAAGGTTTCAACACTTGATTATTACTACCGTTATCATTACAGAGTAAATGAGCGATTTTTTGCTTCTAATTATGGAGATTTTGAAACATAGGTTACTTCAGTGGGCACTCCTGAAATTGAGAAATGCTGCGATTTTCCCCACAAAATCGCTTGTCTCGGCAAAAAAAGACGTGTTAGAAGGAGGAGAAAAAGTTGCATCGAATGGTGACTGAAGTGTTTAACATTTTAAGTTCTACGAGGTTAAAATATGCTGAATGTAAAAGCTGGTCACTTCAAAAAAATAAATCGTAGAAATTCTGAGAAGCAAGCCGTAGGGCTGCAAAATATTGCTTCTGAAGGCAATAGGTTTGCCCTATCTGCTGGTTATTAGTGCTCCTCCGAAAGTCTTATACAAAAATTATGAAAATTAGCGAAAGTTGGATATGGTTAAAACGAGTGGTTGTAATTGTCAGCAAATATCTCGTCATTCTCGCAACGAAACACAATGGGAGTTTAGCAACTGGAAAGAGGAAAAAATTCTGCATCGGATAAATTTTAAAGTGTTTGTTTATTATATCTTCAATCTAGCGTATTTGTCGGTGGATTGCAAAAACTGACAAAACTTTTGCACCAACCTAATACATTATAGGAATTACTTTTTTGATTTCTCAAGCGAGCCGCTTCACGCTTAGCTCTATGTCGAAAAACGAAATGCCGCAACATAATCTCAGGCAATATGCAGTACCGTATATAATGGGAATTAGTTCCACTCCTCACGAACTTGCAATCATTTTGCGCTTATGTTTATAATTAAATTGAATTTGTATTGTTCTAATTCTGTTGGCAATGCCTTGAACTATAGCGAAAGTCAGTGAAAGTGTGCCCTATTTAAGCCAAAATGAATATTGGGCGTCGGCCTTGCAACGATGCACACCTTCGCAACGGCAGCAGCGTTGAAAACTTCTATTTAGTTGCATCTTTTCAATTTCTTCAATTTCCGGCTAACAAAATGACAGCACCGTTCACATAGCCTCGCGCAAGAGTGCACATCGTCTACATATAATGCTCTGACCTATATTCAATAAACATAGTGCAATCATCAGTTACTCGCGTACGTCTCCACTGTTTGCTGACAGTAGGTTTTAAAGGCACCGTCCACCCAAAATGGGGTCGATGAGATTTTAATGCCCAACAGTAGCAGGGTCGCCAACTGAATATTTGCCTAAGGATTGCTTCATACTACGCCGCAGGACGCAGCAGTCTACCGCAGCACGTGGCAGCACGCCCCGTTCTGCGGCGTGTGCCGCTGCAGTCGCTTTGAAACTCGCTCGCTCAAAGGTACACTCTCTGAGAACATTAACGTGCAGCAAATAGAGATACATCCATAGCCGGGCGAAGCTGTGCTGCCATGAGAGTACATTTCACTGCGACTGTAGCGGCGCGCTCCGCAGCACGCCGCATCCTGCGGCGCAGTATGAAGGAACCTTAATTCGCGTTGTTCAAAGTTGATTTCTAAGCAAAAATTTGCTCCCAAAAATAGCTTTGGATGATAGATTCGCCACGTGAGCTTCTCCTTCTTGAGTGGGCGTGGCGTTTCGTTTTCCCCCTCCCCACCCATCCGTGCGTATTCCAATCACCATTCGGAAAACTCGCCCTGTAATTTCTGCAGATCGCGGTTTGTCGAGGTTTTCACGAGGGACATGAGAGGGCCTCGGAACGAAAAGAACATGGAAGTCGAGAATTTGGTGGACGTGCCTTTAACTTATGAAAGGTGTAAGCCAACCGCGTTTTGTGCCGAATGCATTTGGTCAATCAAAGACAGTTCATGACTAAAAGAGAGAACCGAGGAAAACCTAGAATGCACCCGAAAATAGAAGTTAGATTCACAACTCGCAACCTGCGCTAACGGCTTTTACTTGGAAGTAAATTCATGTTTTTTTGATTCGCTCACTTTAGCGTCATTGTCCTAGTTGCACAGTTGAGCAGACTTCCCATTCCCAAAATAATGCACTTGCAGTGCTGAGAAAATGAGGTTGAGTTTGCGTGTTAGCAACTAGCTGACAAGGGAAGGATACTAACTTAGATTTGCCTTCTAAGATGAGACACATATATTTGAAATCAACGTGAAACGCTGATCCCAGATATGGTGTTTTTGGCTGCTTAGCGTTATTCTAAAAGAGTTATGGTCTCTTTCTTGTGCAAAGTCTACGTGCTCCTCGACCTTTTGCAGTTGTATAATGCTCCCTTTCATAATGGAAAGAATTAATCTAAGGCTAGTTCGACATCCTAGCACTTTTCTCAAGCAGATTCTTATCTATACATCGTCTTAGACATTCAGAAGTTTGCTATTTACTCACAACAGCAAGCCCATGACTCGCTTCTCAATAGCGCTAAGCAGCTAAAAACACCATATTTGAATTAGCCTTTAAAGATGATTCCATATATGTGTTATGTCTCAAAAGGCAAATCTAATTTGGTATCCTTCCCTTGTGAGTTCGTAGTGTCGGCTCCGGCTTTACTGGCAAAATATTCTCCTTCTATCTGTAATCACCTATTCTTATTTAGGCTATTGCCTTATGCATAAGGGCGAATTCGACTTGTTATTTACAAAAACTATTAAAAGATGCAATTAGTATGCGTCTTCTGGCTCTATATATCAACAAACATTTGTACATGGCAAAACTACAGTCAACAACGCTTGGAAAATTGAATGAAAGCTACTCATCGGTAGGTGCACCGCTGACATCATGGTGGAGTTCAATTATGAGACATCCTAATACAGTGCTGGACAAAATTATAGGTCCACTCTAAAAAGTGCCATAACTCACTCTGTTGTCAATAAAATGTTCCAAATTTTGGTACAGCATTGTGTTTACCAGCCTACTATCAGTCATCAGATCTCATTTTCATTTGGTTATTCAAGAAAAAATTGAAAATTTTGAAAAAAGTAGGCTTGAAGGCTTGACAAAATTATAGGTCCACCTGAAGTTTTTATCGATTAAAGCACTTCTTAGCTACCAAATTTCTTTAGGTAGGTACACATCCAAAAACTTTAAACAGCTGCTTTAGTCAAGCTGTGTCATACCTCCAAAGATGACTATCTGTTTTTTGCCTTGAAAATTCTTTCACATGTATTTCGCTCCACAAACCTACGTTGAGTAAAAAATTCTGCAGCTCAGCTGAATTGGAAGGGGCGGGGTTTACGGGGTTTTATCTACCTTCTGGATGCTTTTTGACGTGAACATTGGGGAAAAAACCCGACTTTTTGCTGCCGAAGCAAATCCGACATTGACAATACTGCAATTCTGTGCTCAAATTTCTGCCTTCAAACTTCTTTTACAAGTTCTCAGAAGAATAAAGTAAAGTAAAGGCATTGTTTCTACGAAGGAGAGTCCGTATTCCATGGTTGCAACTTTTTAGAGATTCAAGCATTAGAGTTTAATTACTGAAATCACCCTGCAGAAACTGTTTACGACAAGCACCAAAGCTATTTGTGGCTCCGACCAAAATTTTCAGATGAATCATGTGCTAACATACACAAAAAGCTGTATCCACTATCTAGTAAATAATTACTGTCAAAAATCTAAGCGAGGTAGCTCTTGGCAAGCTATTTTGGATCTGCGTAACAGCATCATTACGTTGCGCAACAACTCATGTTTCGAAAAAGAAGCAGCAGCTTTGTGGACATTTGCGAGTACGGAGAACAGCTTTATTCTTATGTAAAGAATGCTTTTACAATATCTTGAGGTTATAATGGCAATGCAAAAAGAGTTTTAGGACATAAACTCAAGCTTATTCTCCCAATTGAGTCGATGTCGGATTTGCTTCAGCAGCAAAAAATCGGGTTTTTTTTTGATGCTCACGTCAAAAAGCATCCTGAAGGTAGATGAAACTCCGTCGCTTCCGATCTAGCTGAGAAACTGCAGAATTTCTCACTCAACGCAGGTTTGTGGAGCGAAATACACGTGAAAGAATTTTCAAGGCAAAAAACAGATAATCAGTTTTCTTTGGAGGTATGACACAGCTTGACTAAAGCAGCTGTTCAACGTTTTTGGATGTGTACCCACCTGAAGAAAATCGAAAGCTAAGAAGTGCTTTAATCAGTAAAAACTCCAGATGGACCTATAATTTTGTCCAGCCTTCAAGCCTGCTTTTTTCAAGATTTTCAATTTTTTCTTGAATAATCAAACGAAGACGAGAACCGTTTTGAAAACTGATGATAGGCTGGTAAATACACGTCTGTACCAAATTTCGTAACATTTTATTGACAACAGAGTGAGTTATGGCACTTTTTAGAGTGGATCTATAATTTTGTCCAGCACTGTATATATTAGGTTGTTCCGAAAGTTCTTTCCGTTTTTTCAACCTATCATAAAAACACATGGAATGAAGGTAAGGAAGAGCTTCAAGCGCTATCCGACGCATTTTTTCCTCTTCTTTTCAACAATCATATTCCTGTGTCGCATGCTCTTTTGGAGAAGCTTTAATGGCGGTCGGATAGAGTAAACAAAGTGCAATTTAATGGAATTTTTTAGCAATCTCAACTGGCTTTTCAGTATTTTCTGAGACAACTTTTCCAGAAGTCTTCACTTTTTTGAAGTCACAAAACACACAAACGCTCCGAACATTAGCAAATCTTCGGATTTTGACACTATCAAAAGTCGTTTGTGATTGTCCACTATTCTTTCAAAGTGACTGAGTGTTAACCGCTTCGACCTATAAGATTTCGCGTTTTAGTGCACACCCTCAGGCGGGTTCACAATTAAGAGTTATGAAAATTTTGTCGCTAAAAACCCCCACGAATTAGGAAGAAAAATATCAATAGAAAGAGGAGGAAAAAGTTGCATCGAATGACACTTTGGTTGTGCGCCGTTTTATGTTCTATGGTTCTTGGCATCACCAAAAGTGGAAATTGATAGCATCAGGAAAATAATTCTAAAAAAATTTTGGGGCTAGCAATAGACGCCAAAAAAATCCATTAAATTGCACTTTGTTTATTCTATCCAGCTGCTATTGAAGCTTCTCCAAAAGTCAAAAAAGAAAATTGTGAAAAATTGCCAATTGGACACGGTAAAAACCATGGGTTCGAAATTTTGGCCATTATCTCACTGACCACAAGAGCAAGCGACACAGGAATATGACTGTTGAAAAAAGGAGAAAAATCTGCGTCGGATAGTACCGTAAATGTTTACCCATCTTTGTGTCACCTCTTTTTATGATAGGTTGAAAAACGGAAAGAACTTTCGGAACGACCTAATCATTAAATTGTCTCGAAAGATCCGACGTTTCATATTTGAAAATCTGTAAATAAAGGTTTTCATACTCGTAATTACTTTTGAAAGAGTAAGTTTTCCGCTTTCGAATGCTTTCCTTCCTAGCTTCTAATACACACTGACTGCAGAAATAAAATTGGGAAAACAAGACCATATAGACTTGTAATATTTAATTTTAGGTCGCCAAAAACCTGTACCTCTGCGGAAAATTCTGGAAACGTAAGTACATAGGGTTTTTGACCTAATCTTTAAAACTGTGGAAAGTTTGCGTCGTTTGGATGTGTTTGTAAAAAACTATATTTTGAGAAAAGTGAAAAATCAAATGGTTTTGACCTTTTCTGCAGTACAGTCGAAATTCGTAACTTTTCGCAGAGACGTCCGAACAGCACAAACTTTTCACTGTTGCGAAGAGTAGGTCAAAGAATTTGTGCACTCGCGTTTTCAGATTTTTCTGCAGCGTTTCAGGCTTTTGGCGACCTAACTTAAAATGACCAAAGTTTATATGGTCTTGTTTTCCCAAATTTATCTCTGCAGTCAGTGTGTCAGCTAGAAGCTAGGAAGGAAGGCATTAAAAATCGAAAGACTTACTCTTTCAAATAAAATTGAAAGTTTTCAAATCCATTGAGATTGCGCAAAGTTACAAATTTTCAGAAACGAAACGACAGAACTTTCGGGACAACCTATTAGGTTGTCCGGGAATTAATGCATGTTTTGAATTCCAACCGCGATAAGTCATACTCTTCTCCTTCTAAGTAGGGATCAAAATGTCATTCGATAGAGCAACACAAGCTCTACAAGATAGCAATCTTACTTTAGTAACGCTATGATCTACCACGAGTTTTGAGCCAAAAACTAAAAAGATTCAACTGCCGAAAAAAATGAATCGTAACTCAGTTGATGAAATTCCTACAAAAATTTTAACTCGCTCACGTTACCACTACCCACATAGGGCATCTATATAGGCGTTGCCGTATTTTTTCCCGTTGAAAATCAAGAAAACGGAAATTTTCGAACATTTGCCAAAGTGGTGCTGTGCCGTTTTCATATAAGTGGTTGTATACTACAAAACTGTAGAAGTACAAACGTAAATTTCCAGCTCTTTACAAGCTTCAGTTCTCAAGAAAGATCGAATACAGTTTTTCCTAGTCATGGAATGCAAGCTAAAATTCAAATTTCTCGAGAATTAAAGCTTGTGGAGAGCTGCAAACTCACGTTTGCACTCCTGCAGTTGTGTAGTATACAATTGTCGCGATCAGCGGGTGATCTACCACCGAAGAGATTACGCATCGATCTTGGCGCGGCTATTGACGTCTCAAACGCCATTCAAAGTTCGAGCCTCACCGGCGGTCGGTGAGCGACATCCAGTGATCCTTTTTTTGTTTTTCTCGAGCTCACCACGATCTCGTTTTTTTGATTTTGTTCTGGATCTTGTTGTTGTTAATAAATTTCTGTGTTCAATTTCAACTTTTTTTGTAAAGCTCTCGGCGGTTTCGGCCGTAATCGTACGTATCAAATTCTCATACAATCATTTATGTGGGAACGACACAGCCACTTTGGCAAGTGCACCAAAATTTCCGTTTTTTTCTAACGGAGAAAAAAACTGCAACGGCATATATATATGTCTTGTGTAGACAGTGTTTACGTGGGCAAGCTAAAATTTTTGTAGGATTTTTATGAAGTGAGTTACGATTTTTTCTCATTTTTTGGACAGTTGAATCTTTTTAGTTTTCAGCTCGAAATTGATGGATCAGAGCTGTCGCTGAAGCAAGATCGCCATCATGTTAAGCTTGCTTTGCTCTATCGAATGGTGTTTTGCAACCTACTTAGATACGAGAAGTGTATAACTTTTTGCGGTTGAAATTCAAAACCTGTGTCAATTTTCGGACAACTTAGTGAATCTTTGAAAATGTCGCTGAAAATAGCTTCTGTAAATTTTTAAAAATGTTGGTGAAAATAATTTTCGTAAATTTCCAAAAATGTTTCCATGTCAAAATGCGAATGCGCGCTGCCATGGCTCGCAACACGTAGTTCACGAACGTGCGCGGGCATGATTATGTCTCCCTTCATTCAGAAACTATAAAGCATACTTTGCCCGAATACCGTATTGGCTTGTCTCTCCCTGATTACCTGGAAGAATGCTAGCTTGTTGACAAAAATGTTTATGAGACGTACTACCGCTAATAAAGTGGGTGCTTTGTGCACGAACCACGGATATGACAGCACCAGTGGGTAAATCTTTGCACCCGTCACCACGGCTTGAACATAAAATTTTCGGATTTTGAGGTTTCTGATTGTAAGAAAAATTGAAAGTGTAACAGAAATTATCCGTAAACCCAATAGTCAAGCGTCTACTGCTTTAATTGACATAATTTGAAATTTTCTTGACACATCTTTGCGTAGAATTTATCGGTAGAGATTTGTGTTCATAATTTCTACGATTATTTCAACAGCTGTTGGAAACTTCACATGGAAATAGGTGCCGAGATGCAAAGAGAGAGTGAGTCAAGATAGTTTAGAGCTCTTATCTATTAATAACCTTTTACCCGCTCTTATAAATGATGGCAGTCCAGCTATTTGCGTCTAAAGCAGTTTCAGTAACTTAAAAGTAATTTTCGAAGTCATAAAGATAGCCTTTCAGTATTCTTTTTTGCTGTGCGGGTTTTTAATACGTGAACGAGCCAACGCCTGATCTGCTTTCTCTACACTTGACAAATCGAATATAGAGGGCTTATCAAACGCAGTTTCGCTTGCATCAACATCTCCACTCCCGTGCTGGATTCTACATCTCTTCCGCGAACATGCCTTTCTAATCGCTTTTCCAGGGCGAGCGTGGGAAAGGCGGAGCCTCATTCGATTGGAAGTAATTGGAGAGGTATGTTTGCGGAAGGGACGCAAAGTCTAACGCATGAGTGGATGGTAATCAAACGACACTGCGTTTGATAAGCCCTAAATGTGTGTGTACCAGTGGCGGTCTCAGGTTTTCTGTCCAGGGGGAGGGAGAGCAAAAAATTGTTTGAATGAAGGTGCTTGGCATTAGCCACGCACTCCGAAGAACTTTTTGGGGTGCTTCTCAAATTTTTTGCGAGACCATACCCCCCCCCCAAAAATCAAGAAAGAGGAAGCGTGGTGGCAATCACGTCCCCGAAAAAGTTTTTTTACAAGGCTAATCTGAATTTTTGAGAATTTTCAAAAATTATTTTAATTATTTACAAAAGTAAAGAGGTCATTTGCACATTTTTATATATCCTCGTCGGTGTGCCACTGGTGTGTACATACAGTGACCGCCAAAAAAATTGCGGACAAGTCGCCCCCTTTTTCATCGCTCATTTTCAAATGGAAAAAATGATAAGAAAATGATGGATTGCATGAGATGGTAAAGCTTTTCAGGAGCTACAATCCACTCATTACGCTTTTTGGAAAACATGGATGCTAAAAGAATCAAAGAACCTTTTCTAAAAAGATTTTTCAATGACAGGTTACAATGTCGCGGATAACAATTCAGACGCGAAGATTTTCCTTTAGGTCTTTTTTGGAGTGAAAACAGAAGTTAAGTAGGCAAATTACATTATAGAGTTTATCGAGGACAATAATGTGTGGTTAATTCTAAAAACGCAGGCTTGTTTATTTAACTTTTTTTCAAAAAAAATTCTATTACCTTTTTCAAGTTGAATTTCTTCACATAAAAACCTACCCAAGGCATCCCAACGAGGCTGTTCGATAAAATGGATGCTCTTCGCCATCCTCTTGCTTTGGACGGGTGCTGGTGAATATCTTTATTGAATGGCTCTTAACGGGCACATAACCTCACCTGCCCTCCACCACCGACTTGCACCGCTTTGCAGGATTGTAGCTCGGCCGGCGGCCACTTTACGAGTCTGTACGCAGCATGTCGAAGAAGCATGACTTCGTCGACACAAAGGACGTCGAAACGTCAGCATCAATAAAGATCATACCATCTTGGGCAACGCTTGAACACAAAATCAATATCAAGGTATGCGAATGAGTTGAGTATGGAGGATGCCGAAGATTTTACGGATGCGGTAAGAAAGCGCAGCCTTGGAGGTGATTTGAGTAAAGGCTCTTATCAAGTCCAACAGTCTTAGCGCTTTGGAATGAATCTACTACAAGAAAATTGACAGTTTTGAATTTTTAGGATATAAATAGAAGTTTAGCCGATAAATCCTTAGCCTACCACTTCTTCACTCCACCCGTTGAATCTCCGAATTTCTCTAACTCAACTCATTTGCATACCTTCGTGTCGAAGAAGTCACGCTCTTTGGACATGTTTGCATACAGGCTCGCAAAGTGGCTGCCGGCAGAGCCGGGCTACAGTCTGCAAGATGCAAGTTAGTGGTGAGATGCAGGTGTGGTAATATGCACGCACTGTCAAAAGCCAATTTCAGAAAAGAAACTCACCAGCACATGTCCGATGCATAGAGGATGAAAAGCATCCATTTCCGAACAGCCTTGGATGTTTTGAGTAGTTTTTATGCAGAAAAATTTGACTTGAAAAAGGAAATCAGAACTTATTTCTTAAAAAGCAGAACAAGTTTCAAGTTTGGGTTGAAAGTACTATTTCCACGATGAGCTTTGAAATGTAGTATGCTTACATGTTCGAATAACTTCTGTTTTTACTTTAAAAAGAGACCTAAAAAAATTTTTGCGCTTGGAAAATTATTGTTCGCCACATTGACGCAGCCATTTTTGGACTTTTTTTTAAGATGTTTGAAATTGTGATCTTGATTTTGTGCCAAAGAGGTTTTTATGGTGGACTTTTATTGCCTAACGTTTTGACAATATCGTCGTCTTCGGAGGCTTGAAAGAAATTGCAATTTTGTTTGATGATGTTTGAAATTTTCACAAAATTTTCAGAATACAAGTTTTCCGGAGAGATCAATGTGTAAGTGGCAGCTCTCGAAAAGCTCTATCAATCAATGCAAACCAATCACTTTTTATCTTTGTTTTCCATCCGAAAATGAGCGATGAAGAAAGGAAGGCGGCTTGTCCGCATCTTCATGGCGCTCACCGTATGTTCCAAACAGAAATGCATTCCTCAACCGATCCGGACCAAACTTGGCACATACACACTCCGGGGCGGGACGGCTGTCACATGTTTTTCCGTTATCGATCGATATCGATTTTATCTTTAAAGTTTAATATACTGAAAAGCTAAAAGTTGGCCGAGGTGTGGGTGAACATGCTGATTACGAAAATGTTATTGACAGGGCTAGGAGCCGAGCTAGCCAGTAGCGCATATGAAAAGAGTCTGCAAGCTGCTCTGAAGAAACCTTGAAGTCATCCAATAAAGTCAACTATAGCTTTTGAACATTAAAGTGACTATGAAATGTGTATGTGTATAATCTAGCCATATTCTCAGTACATTTGAATTTGAGTTTGATACTCTGGATAGACCTAGCGCATTCACGAACCAAAATATTTCTTATCGCACTTTAAGCGCTTTAGATAAATCTCTTCATCTCTTGAATTGCCTACAGTCGCAGCGTCACAAACTCGCTTGTCTTATACGATTGAGCAATTTCGTATGGCAAGGCTGGCTTGGCATTGATCTTCATTGTCGTTCCGAAAGTTCTTTCCGTCTTTTCCAGTTTAAAGAACTACGATGCAATTTTTTTTTAGCAGTAGTGTTTGTCCGTTAGTTAATCTTGTGGTCACTGAGGTGATTGCCGAAACTTTGCACCTACTAGCTTTGAGAATTTTTTGAAAATCTTTAGCACTTCTGAAAAAGTCTTTGATTAAAGCGCATCGCTACAACGTCTTAATGCCGCATGCAATAGCATCCACGCTGGGGAGGGTATCGCAACTCAAAAAATGCTCTAAATTCTGCAGCTTTAGATATGTCGATTTCACGCCTTTTACATCCGTAAGTCCACCATCCTTTACTATAAACATATTGAACGGGAGAAACAAGCCGGGAAGTGCGCTTTGTACAGCTTCTTGTACGGTCCCTTAATCCCCTTTGGCCGACCGCTTTTTCTTCAAAGTCATTTTTTTTCTTCAAAAACCTTCTAAAGTTGTACTCATTATCTGACCCAACAATGCTAGCAAGGGAAGGATACCAACATTAGTAGGCGAATGAAGATGAGATGTATACCAGTAGATGCGCCTTTGAAAGCTGATTCCATATCTGCTTCCCTTTTTTGCGCATTAAGTTTTCGAAAAAAGTTGTGGGCCTTCAAAGGTCCAAATTTGTAAAGTTTTAGGTGGCCTAGAATTGGCGAAAAGCTGTACAAAAACACCTGAAAGTGAAAAATAATTTTTGCACCGAGCATGTTGTTTGCAAGCAAGGAACAAAGACGGTGGAAGTGCATAGGCGTTGTTTTAGAGCTTTTCGCTGATTTTACGCCATTCAATGCTTGGCAAATCGGGACATTCAAACGCTCATAACTTCTTTCGGAAACTTATTCCGCAAAAAAGGGAAGCAGATTTTAAATCGGCGTTCAAAGGCGCATCTAATGATATACATCTCATCTTCAATTGCCGACTAATGTTGGTATCTTTCCCTTGTAAGCATGTTGCTGAAAACAAAAGGGCTTTTGGAATTATCGATTTTTTCGGTGATCCAATTCAATTGGATTATCGCAAATTTCACGATTTTGTTGTGTTAATTGTTTTTTTTTATCAGAAACATGCTCTGCATTGTTGGGTTAGATAATCAGCACAGCTTTGGGACGCTTTCATTAACTTTAAAAAAAATTGATTTTGGATAAAAGATGGTCCTCCGCGTGGGTTCATTAGGGAAATATACAAAAAGCTGGAAAATGCTGCTTGTACAATTCTCGATCCTATAATACTTAGCAGAAGTATTTACAAATGGATAAACTGCGCATAATTCAGACAGGCTTCAGGGTATGAAGCTTTCTTTTAAGCTGCGATCCCTCTCCGGTGGGATTGCTGTTGCACGTGGGTTGAAGATTTTTGTAGCAGACGCGCCTGTAAAATGTTAGATTTCAACAGTTACAAAATTTAAAAACAGTCACGATCTAAATGCTTATTTAGACTCAAAGCAAGGATCTCATGCTCAGATTTGCCTATTGGTTACCTTCAAGTAAGCTCAACTGATTTGTGCCCATTTAGGTTGACTTGTTCAAATATTTGGCCGATATAAGCCCGCTAGAAGTCCGACACGTTTTCCAAGATGCTCTTCTAGTCGAGGCTCCTCCTCTCGAAGCAATAGAGCGGTGTGAAAACATCAAGCTCAAGAAATCAGGCAAAATAAGGTCATTGCAGGTTTGACGCTGAACTGAAAAGGATTCCTAAAATTGTTATCGTGAACACTATTATAAGTCATTTCGTCTTCAACTCTTATCGTCACCTGGATGTACGTTTTTATACGTTGTCGACTCGAGGAAAAGAGAGCGGAGAGCCGGGAAAACTTGTAAGTATTTTGCGCTACTTTTGAAAATAACAAAAATGTAGTTTCATAACTAACAGACACTCTCTATGCATTCAACTCACAACCTTGTGGAAAAAGGGACTTTTCAATTTAAACTCATACAGTTAACGATTTCTCTTGTAATAAGCTAATGTTTGCGATCGCAGTAACCTACTAGCTTGCGACCGCGTTCCACCCGAGATTAAGTCAAGGTCAAGAAAATATGGCTTCGTGGCTTCTACATTTAAAAATAGGGTATATATATATAGATTGCTAGAAATGTAAAACGTGTAAATTTTTGACTTCAACTTTATAGTACCCATTTATATCTGATCATTAAGTTCTTGAAACTACGCTTGTATTTAGCATAACAAATCCGGTAATTCCGGTAACTATAGAGTGAAAAGGTATTTCAAGTGGGAATTCAAAGTACTTAGGTAAACACACTGCCTCTGAAGTCGTCAGAATCTTTAAAAATTGCATGCTTTCTATCAAACAACGACAGACGTTTCATTATGTGTAAGCATGAGTTACCCTTAGCAGTTCACTTTCCACTCATAGAGTCAGATCATTTCATATGACCATGTCCAACACTGCACATACTGTCCACTTTTGGCGTCCTCATCCAAGATTTTAGGCACAGACAGACTCTTTATTAAGTCTTTCCAATGTTTTCTTCATGCTTTTTCTCCTTTCTAGGTACCTGCTTTACAAAGTGATGTAAGCGGCAACAATCGGTCGGTCTCCTGCGTTTTTGCTATTGCTGTTCGATGAGACGCCAAAGGTGAACAGTGCGTGCAGTGACACACATGATCATATGAGATGATCCGGCTGTACATGAATTTATCATTACTTATAATAACGGGCTAAGGATGTTTACGTGACTTTGTGTGTCTCTCTGTGTGTGTGTGTGAGTGTGTCTGTTACGAAATTCGTAGAGCGCGTTCCAGCCAACCTCCTGAGCTCAAATTTTTCACAGTGCATGCTATCCACATGAAAGTCCAACATGCAAAAGCACGAGCAGGTTCGTTTAGTGGATCCCCCAGAAATGTGTGTGTGTGTGTGTGTCTGTTACGATTCGTGGAGCGTGTTCCAGCCAACCTCCTGGGCTCAAATTTTGCACAGTGCAGATTCGTTTAGTGGATCCCCCAGAAACTGCGTGTCAAACGGATCCACTTTGCATTTGAGCCGCAAAATTGGGTCCGTAATTCCACTTTTTGTAAAGTCGTGAATGTTTATGCCAAGTAAATGTGAAAGCCGTTAACTTAGGCCCAAAAACGTGATCAAATGCCCATTACTTCACAAAAGCGGCGCCAAAAGGTATTGGGTAAATGTTGCGTAAATGGTCAACTTGCCAAGGTTTTACCAGAGCTTTTGACGAGATTTTTGCGCAAAGATGTAGCTCACGGTGACTGCTGTTCTTATTGCAACTGTCAAGACCACGGAAAAATCAAAAACTATAAAAATTTGCGTTTGTTTTCCTGCAAAAACTCTCATCCACGCGAAATCACCGATTTCACATAAAAGAACTTTCGGAATGAGTAGTTGCTTATATTTTCTTTGTGATAGTCGGCAATGCTCGGTGAGTTCCAATGCCATCATTGTACGAGAATGAGTAGGGCCTAGATAGTGGAGGCAGTGCCACCCTCTGCGAAGCAGAGGTGTGACGCTATATAGGCTGTACCAACCAGCATCGGTCATGCGACGTCGCGCCTGCGGCGACTTGCGACGATGCGATCTGGCGCGCGCGAACTCTGCCACGCGTTATGGCACGCCGCATGCGACGGTGCGTCGTCGCAAGGCCTGTTGGCGCGGGACCGATGCCGGCTGATACAGCCTATATATATAAAACTCAAAGTTTGTGCAACTCCTGACCGTATGTTTTTTATAGACTCCTTTGCGCGTGAACCGATTGAGCTGAAATTTTGCATATATATGTTTTCAACCCCATAGATGGTTTTAGGCCACTTTTTGAAGCGATTCGCAGAATCATTTCAATGATTTATTGATTTCGGCACTTTGCAATGAAAGTGAAGTCTCATCAACCACTATCTACCCCATGCACATTTTGGTGTAAACAATAGCAGAGAAGCTCATTCTTATTTTGCGGTCAGAAGGATGCGGTACTTCCAGATGATGCTGCTTTGAGGTAGGCATTTGCAATTACAACGCACCGTGCAAATGGATATAGGCTGCGGGACCGGAGAAGGAAAGGGGGAGGGGGAGGACAGATATGCAGCAGATGGAAGCGGGATGAAAGATGGAAAGGCGTAGGTTTCAAAATAAAAAACATATTATATGCGCTTCCTTTCCTTTCTATGGCTCCGTTGCTCATGAATCAGGCAAGACCGGGTATGCCAACTAGTTAGATATATAAATCAACAATTTCAATTCAACTGTACATGAATTAGATATATAAATTAGTGCGAATGACCATTTATACGCTTAAGTAGATTTGAATGAATATCAAGAGGTTACTCTGTGATTTCTACCTTACATTTTCTTTTTGCACGTCTCCAACAAAATTTTCACACTTCTTTCGGGTTCCCTCAACGTTTGGAAACTTTCAAAGTTTCCCTTATAAAGTACTGGTGAAAACACCATGGGTACCAAAAAAGGTACGACACCGGTACAGCTTTTATCCCCGAAACCGATAAGTGTAAAAACACAAAGGACTGAAAGCCATTTTCTTTGCATCATAATTTGTTAGCGCGTAAAGTCTCTGTAAGAATCTTTCATGAAGAAGAAAATAAAGACAGAGTTTATCATTTAATAACGTCGCTTCCGTTATTTTATGGCCATACATTTCTTCATTCCAAGCAATTAGCCAATGTTGTCATTATCATGCTTGAAAGCGTTTGAAAAGAGCGTTTTTCCAACAGTAATCGACTGATAAAATGGAAAACAAGAAATTTGTAAAAAGTCGGCTAGAAAGGCCTGAAAAGCTGAAAATGTAATAAAACTTTTTACAGTGATGCAGTTGAATGGTTTTGTACTAATAATTTACGTCTTTAAAACAGGTCACGTTTTATCCATAACAGCGGAGCTCAAAAAACTTACTCGATAAGTGATCTTTATTCGCTGAGATAACGCAGCGTAAAATTAGACAGAAACGAGATTCCGGCTTGCTCGCTTTTTTATGGTAAAAGCAGCTATTTTCTTTTAAGCCGTGTGCCTTTCTCACGCTGAAAAAGCGAATGCAAGAACCACAATAAAAATGTGTTTACTCCATGTTAGAAAAATTTGAATTATTGTTGACTCATGTTTTGCACCTTGGGTTCATTCTTTCTTTGTACAGAAACTGTTGGAAGCAGCAGGTATTCTGAAGTTGTTACCGCCTACTGAAAGCTGACTTGCTGCTGCGTAACAATTTGTTCTAGGTCTAATTTTCTATAGCCGCTCCTAGAGCTTACCACTATACGCAGGTTGCATAGAAGAGCGGGTAAAAAGGACCACTTATTCCTTGATTTTTAGCAAACTCGCAAAACTCGGCGGAATGACCAATGACTTTGGCTATTTTTGAAAACGAAGTTCCCATTGACTTTGCAATAAAAGTACAGGGCTTATCAAATGAAGTTCCTTAATCATTTCCAATCAATTGAGGTTTCGTCTTTTTCACGCTCAGCTTGAGAAAATACTAAGAGAGCAGTTCCACGGAAGACGCAAGATTCAGCGCGGGAGTGGAGGTGCTGGGGCAAAGCGACACTTCATTTGATAAGCCCTGTACGACATTTTCTATACACACTTGTAAATAAATCACACATGAAGAACGAAAAAATAGAATGCAATGGTTTCCACAACCTTGTCAATTGACACCACATGAACGACACATGTTTATTGTTGACCACTGCGTCACCTCTGCTCGCAAAGGCTCGCACTGGTGCCACCATCTGTATGCCTTACTCACTCCAGCAATAATGGCATTGGAACTCACCGCGCTATGCAGACTCTCCCGAATGATTTGTCAACAACTAGTCATTCCGAATTTCATGTTCGGTCATGTCGCGTGGATAAAACTTTTTGCAGGAAAACAAACGCAAATTTTTATAGGTTTTTGATTTTCCCATGGTCTTGACAGTTGCAATAAAAACAGTAGTTACCGTGAGCAACATTTTTGTGCAAAAATCTCGTCAAATGTTCTGGTAAAAGCCTGGCAAATTACTTATATGCAACCAATTCTTTTTGGCGCCGTTTTTGTAGAGTAATGGAATTTTGATCACTTTTTTGGGCCTAAGTTTGTGGCTTGCAAATTTACTTTCCATACACATCCACGACTCTGCAAGAAGTGGAATTACGGACCCAATTTTGTGGGCCAAATGCAAAGTGGATCCGTTTGACGCGTAATTTCTAAGAGATCCACTCAACAAATCTGCTTGTGCTTTTGTATGTTGGACTTTCATGCAGTAGCAAGTGCTGTGCGGAATTTGAGCTCGGAACTTTGGCTGAAACACGCTGTGAATTTCGTGACAGACAGACATTCAGACAGATAGACATACAAAAACACACAAATATTCTTAGACCGTTAGTTAAGATAATTACTTCAAATTCGGGTGATTAAACCGTGAATAACTTGAAACAAGCAAACATGAAGCATAGTTGTTAAATATTAATTGAATAAGCATGAACTGGAATTATTCTATATATTAGGTGGGTCACAAAGTTCGTTCGCCAGATTTTCAAAAAATCATAACTTCCTTCCTTCTTGGTGGAATTTTTTGAATTTATTCCCCTTTGAAAGAGGAAACCTTTCTTTTTACAACAGTACCTTTGGCATGAAATAGCGTGAGAAAGTTCGAGAGTTACATGCAGTTGAATGAAATCACTCAAGATCGGCACTTTTCAAGCAGGGTCACGAAAAATTCTGGAAGTATCTTTATTTGATAGAGTAAATTTTGCTCATTACAGTGGTACCTTTTTCATGAATTAAAACGAAGTAGATCGAGAGTTAGAAGTAAATAAAGAGAATTTCTTCACTTTTGCAATTTTTGAGCATGCTCAAAAAA